GAAGAAAAAGTTAATAGCTAATGAACTTTTTCATCTCAATGATCTTAATGTTTCCTTGCTCAGTGTGTTGAAGCAACATTGAGGAACTACAACCAGGTGAGTGAACACTTGTGGCAAGAGGTAAAACATATACAATTCCAAGATCCAGAAGGCAACTGAAGAACATAAACAAGACTTTCCCCCAAGCACAAGCACTTTACAACAGCATGATGGCATATCTCTGCATGCCTTCAAGGAGTCCTTCTGTGTGGCACAGTAAGATAACACTGGATTTCTAACCACAAGTTCAAACCCACCAACTGCTCCACAGGAGAAAGATGAGGCTTTCTGCTCCTGAAAGATTTGAACACAGCCTTGGAAATCCTAGATCAAATTAGAGTCCTAATCCTTAACCACACTGCTTACTCCTATCAACTGAATGGACCCCTCCTCCAAACAAAACATTGAAGACAAAGAAAATTTGAGTTTGCCCTTGTCCCTCCCACACCCACTTCCCTGGTTTTCCTAATCTCAATGCTTACTCCACACTCCCTAGGTTTGTTTTTTTGTTAAATAGAGTTTGAGATCAGAGGGTAGGTTGGGATGTACATGATAGGGCTTCAAAAAGTTCATGGAAAAATGGCATGAAAAGATAATGGAATTTTTTCCATGAACTTTTTGAAACCCCTGCATACTTATAACTTGAAATTAACAAATTCTAACGTCAACAGGTGTGGTTCAATAGCATAAACACTGGACCTCAAGGTTGGCAGTTCAAATTTACCAGCCACTCTTTGGAAACCTTGTACTGGATCCCTAGGAGTTGGAACTGACTTGACAGTGGTGGCTCACGCACACCAGCCTCTCCTTGCTATGGGACAGACCTGACTTGACAGCAGTTAACAACTACAACAATATAAATGAATGGTAATTGTTTCTTATGAAATTGTCATAGGAGCGGCAGGCTTTCTCAGAGAGGGAGGATCCTCTATTTGGAGAGGTTGAGTTCATGTGTAGATGGGGACAGCACACAGCACTGTCACATGGGGCATCTCAAAAATCACAATTGTCTCTTCCAGCTTTTGCAATCCTGCTGAGATGAATTCCTAGCTACCACACTAGAAGAGTGTGTGGACATAGGTCAAGCAGAAAAATGTTGTCAAAGTCATTATCCACCTAAGTCTGGAACTAGAAATCAGGAATTGAAGGCCAGGTGACCATGGTATTAATGCAACAAGACCCTACAGTGCAAATCAGGAGAAAATGGTTGTCTTTGGACAAGCTGCTATCTGGGGCCCGTTTCATGGAAAGCCCGCCCACGTACCATGAATAATTCTTAGAAATGGACATATGCTTCACTCCTTAGGTAAATCAGATTGTAGAGCAGTGAGCATCAAACATCCTTACATTAAAAAGGTAGAGAAAGCCCAAAGGTGCCTTGTGGGACTTCATTGTAAAACAAGTTTGAGAAATGCTCAGATTTGTCTTGCGTAAATGCATGTAGCTTATTTCAGGTGGTCACGCACCCCAAGAACTCATTCACTGCTGGAGACTCGGGTAAGAGAAAGTCCAGTAATTTAAGTCCAGCTCTCCAGTCTTGCGGTGTTTGACCAGTGGCTCGTCCTTGGTGGAGGCTCATGGGAGCTGGGGTCCTAGGTCTGTGACGGGGGTGGGCAGAGTTGTCAGCCTTTGGAGATGGTCCGAGACACTAGTCATTCTGCCTCTACTGTGCTTTTAAATGGAAGAGCAAAAGTCAGTCTGGAAGTTTTGTGTGGTTTAGTCTGTCTGGTTTGCAGACACCTAGTTTCTGTTGCATCAGGGCAGCATTGTTGTTAAGTGTCTGTCATCCAGTCAATTTGGACTCATAATAACCCTGTATAGGTTTCCAAGGAGTCACTGGTGGAATTGAACAGCTAACCTTGTAATTAGCTGTCCAGTGTTTCTGCAACAAAGCCACACCAGGATTCCTATCATAAAGGTTATGAACAATGTCTAATACTGTTGTTAAGTGCCATATCAAGTCAGTTCCAACTCACAGTGACCCAGTATAGGGTTTCTAAGAAGCAGCTGTTGAGTTTGAACTGCTGACCTTGTGATCCAGTACCTTGTGGTCCAACCCACAGAGCTACAACACCAGGATGCCAGTTCTAATACTGTTGATGTTGTTGTTAAGTGCCATCGAGTTGGTTCTGATCCATAGCGACCCTGTAGAGGGTTTCCAAGGATTGACTGGTGAGCTTGAACCACCAACCTTGCAGTTCAAACCGACTTTGCAGTCTAGTGCATTAACCCACAGCGCCACACCAGGACTCCACCAGTGTTAATATAGATACACTGAAAGTTGCATCAAACTATATCACAGCTGTTGAGATTGTTGTTAAGTGCCGTCAAGTCAGGTCTGTCCCATAGCAAGGAGAGGCTGGTGTGCGTGAGCCAGTGACCTTGTGATTACCAGTCCAGTGCTTACATGAGAAAATATCTGAGTGCTACCAGACCCCTCGAAATAACCCACCAACCCTAAACTACTAGCATGAATGCTCACTGCTCACAGACCCCATTCTAAGTTGCTGGGCTTTGAGACTCTGAGTGTGGTTCCTAGGGAAGGTACTGTCCTACTAGGGTTGTGTGCTGTCTCTTTACCAGGTCACTGCAAAACAAACGCTGAACACTGGCTTCACTTTTTTGCCCTTTTTGTTGTTGGTAAAAGCACAAATCCTGTTTGGAATTATTTCAGTTACTGAAAACAGATACTAAAGTAGGCCTTTTGTAAATTGAAGTAGTGTAAAGCAAATTTTGAAAGGTGAGGATATAGTTTCTATATCTAGAAACTAGAAATTAGAACACAAAGAAGAGAACTGAAACCCAGAAAGCCCCATTTCCTGGGCTGAATTATTAGAATTATTAACAAGGAGTCCTGGTATGGACTGCTGTCTACAAGGCTGGTGGTTCAAATCCATTAGTTGCTTCTCATAAACCCTATACAGGGTGGCTATGAGTCAGAACTGGAATCCTGGGATGGTGCTGTGGATAAAGCACTGGACCACAAGGTCAGTTTGAACCACAAGGTCGGTGGTTCAAATTCACAAGCTGCTCCTTGGACACCCTATATAGGGTCGCTATGATTCAGAACCAACTCAACAGCATTTAACAACCGCAACATTGTTAATAAGAGACAGCTGTGGTATGTAGCGGCTTTCTGGATCTTAAGGCATGTGGGAGATGCTATCACAGTGCCTTCTAGATATTAAGGTATTTGCTTTTTAAGACGTCCCCCTGTCAAATAAAGACTTAAAGAAAATATATATTACTGAAATCAATAAAACAAAAGCAAAAAACATAAAAATTAAGATTTTGGACTTTATCTGACATGTTGCTGTTAATTGCTATCAGGTAGGTAACGACTCATAGTGACCCTGTGTAGGATTTCCACGGAAAAGCTGATGGGGTTGAACCACCAACCTTGTGGTCAGCGGTCCTGTGTATATCTTACCATGCGACACCAGGACTCCTTCTGTGATATAGATATTGTTATTAAGTGCCATTGAGCATGGTCTGACTCATAGTAACCCTACATAAGGTTTCAAAGTCTTTAAATTCATGGGAGCAGAAAGCATCATCTTTCCCCCTCGGAGGAGGTGTGGCTCACAGTCCAGTGCTTATCATATGAAGCCGCTGCACTTATATATATATACACATACATATACATATATACATGTGTGTGTGCATATACATACACATATATATTATACACATGTATAAAGTAATTAAAATGATTAAAACCATCAAGATCATAGAAGAACAAGTCATACTTGTTGTCAGAGAAACCAATCCATCTGCACACGCAGCAGCTTGGTGTTTTCATTGAGAAAATCAATGTAAAAACCTGTAGTAAGTCTCTGAAGGATTTCATGACAACAGAAGATACCTGTGGCCAATGAGCCGATTCCTAACATGGACGGCACTTAACAACAACAGGGACAAGGAGAACTGCCTTGTAAGGTTTCCCAGGCTGTAATTATTACAGAAGCAGAGAAACAGTCTACTGCATTTGTCTGTCACCGAGCGGCTGGTGGGTTCAAACTTCTGACCTTTTGGTTTACAGCTGAGTGCCTGACCGCAGCGCCACTAAAGCTCCTTATGTGGACAGGTATAAATGGAGTGAAAATTCCTAATAACCACTGTAGATGAACACAACATGTTAATTAAAACTTCTCTCACTGTCTTACATGTGTCAATGCCAAATGAAGGAACAGTTCAGTTGTTGTATAAAACAGGAAGCTAAGGGGTCTCCAGGGGGAAGATCCAGGGAGGAGAGCCTGGAAGAAGTGCTGCCAAGTGACAAAAACAACCTGTCCAACTCAAGTCCACACACACTAACGCTTACAGTCCAGTAGAGAATGCATCATAGACTAGGCGTTCCATCTATAAGCTCTGTAATTCTTTATGCATAGCCACAGTATTTTGAATAAATACTGCCCATATCAGGGAGTGCTTTGGTTCTGTAGGGAAAGCATTGGACTGCTAGCCACAAGGTTTGTAGAGCCCATCAGCAACTCTGGAAGACAAAGATGAGGTTTCCTGCTCCCAAAACATGTACAGCCTCAGAAACCCTATATAGAGTTACCATGTGTCAGAACTGAGTCAACAGCACTTCGCAGCAGCATCAATGTCTGAAATACTCCTTTTCCTACAAGAATGAAGAAGGTGTGGATTGAGTCAATTAAGGCAGGCCGTTAGTTACCCTGTCAGGATCCAACCAGAGGGAAGGTCAGGGGAGGTAGCATGTACAAGCACACACAGGTGAATGGCTTCTAGGAGAATTCATGTGGAATGGCCTATATCCCACCTTAGTGCACACAGACTGTAAATTAACCCCACCTTAGAGGGCCTTTGCTTTTTCTCTATATAAGTTTTTAAAGGCAAATGACCCACTTAGGGTCCTAAATATTTTTATTAAAATCTAATCTTGAATAAGGGAGTCCTTAGGTAGCGGAAAGGGTTAACTACACTCAATGTTAAACAAAAAGTTGGAGATTTGAGTCTGTGCAGGGACACGTTAGGAGAAACGCCTGGCAACCGAGGTGTAAAGAATCAGCCAGTTGAAAGGAGATGGGGATAGGATTCTTTTGATTCAATAGTGAGTAACTGTCATTGTGACTAATTGCGACTGTCAAAACTATAAAGGTAGAAGTTTTGTAACAAAAAGGGGGCAGTAGTTGATTGAACAGTCC